CAGGGTTGCCTCTGTTGTTTTGTAAAATGAGGATGATAGTGTAACCAGACAAACAATGGGTCCATGCTGCCTGTCACTACTCAATCCAGTTAAGCAGAGACAGGGTTGAATCACATATGAGCGTTTATTCCAATATTGCCATCAGTATGGCAGAGCAGCAGGTTGTACACAAAAATCTGTTCTGCAGCCCCCCATAAACTGACTGCTTATATAGGTAGAAGTTTAAAGGAAAGTAGGCAAAAGGGCAAATGGGCAGTTTACAGATATGCGAAAAAGGGCTGGGGATCTTCAAAGGGCTTGGCGATATGCAAGGGCTGGGGTTACATGGGGAAATAAGGGGAGGGTAGGCCAGGTGGGTAGTTAATAGATAAGCAAAAGGTCTGGGATTTTCAAAGGGCTTAGTTATATCCAAAGCTTGGGGTCTTCAAAGGGCTGGCGATTCTGGTTTCTGCAACAAAGTTGTTAATCTTTCCAAGATAATCAGCAGCTCCAAATGGGGAGGGTGGGCTACACTTCAAGGTGAGCTCCCAGGTCCTGAGTGCAGCTGCCAGACAGGTTAGAATGTGCCTTCTTTAATTTGAATAAAACAATCACAGTTAACAGAGCATGATTAATATTTCTTATAATACTAGCTGGTTACCCAACATTCTATTTCTGTCCCCTTTCTATAGTACTACCTGTCATCATAGGGTTTGTAACGCTTAATTCTATGTCAACTTGACCCGGCCACAGTGCCCAGATATTGGGTCACACATTATTCTGGATGTTTCTATGAGGGGTTTTTAGGTGAGATGAACAGAAATTAGTAACACTGGAATTATTAACATTGGAATTAGTAGAGCAGATTGCCCTCCACGGTGTGGTCAGCCCCATGTAATCAATGGAAGGCCTGAATAGAACAAAAGAATGATGTCCCCTGAGCTAGAGAGAACTCTGCCAGCAAACTGCTGCATCAGCTCTTCCCTGGGTCTCCAGTCTGCCAGCCCACCCTGCAGATTTTGGACATGCCAGCCTTCATAATTGTGTGAGCCAATTCCTTAGACCAAATCTCTCTCTATATATACACACATCCTATTGGTTCTGTTTCTCTGGAGAACCCTGTCTAATACTGACTTGTCATTAGGGTTAAATAATTTATACATGCAATACTTAAAGATTCGGACAGGGGTGGGTGGCTGCACTAGCAGACTATAACTTCAGTGTTTGTACCTTTCTGGGTTCAGCTACATGGATGCCTATGTTCTCTTGCTCTTTGAACATACCCAGGGCAACTGAAAATGCCCCCATTTCCTCAGCAATAATTGAGGGCCACTTGGGACCCCCCAAAGGTCAGCCACTGTTTCTGTCATCTGAAAGGGACCGGGATGGGGCTGAAATGGGTCTGGCATGGCTTGGAATGCATGGGTTCTTGACTTTGAGCAGGAAAGAATTGAAGACATGGGTGTAGGTGGTTTTGAGAGTATGTTTATTAAAGCGTGGGATGGTGAAACAAAGGAAGGGCTTAGGATAGGAGAAGCAAGATCACAGTACCAGAAGTGAGTCTAGGCAGACCACAGTGTTGCAGAAGACACAAGAAAAACCAAGCAATGCTTTAAAGAAATGGAGGGACACTGTTTAATTACACCAGCGGACTCAGGGAATAGCTTTCCAAATCTGAGTACGGAAACATGCAGGGGCCTTCTTTTTTTCTATCTCCCTGTGGTCTTTGTCCTGCAAATATGGATTATGCTTCCGGTATTTTTTGCGGGCCTTGCAAGAAGGCCCTCAGGTGTTGAGGCTCTCCAGGCCATATCTGATGGTTTGGCCTGGTGCCAGTGTTAATAACCCTCCTTCCGGGGCAGTGAACTGTTCACAGTTTTATGGCCTCTGTAACAGGTTCTGCAAGACCAGTTTCTGGGAAGGAGGTAATGACTTAATTATAGGTTATCAAGAATGTACACTGAGCTTGCTGGCATGGATTCCAATTGCTAGCCCCCAAAACAGGGGTCGGCAAACCGCGGCTGCGAGCCACATGCGACTCTTTGGCCCCTTGAGTGTGGCTCTTCTACAAAATATCATGTGTGGGCGCCCACGTACAGTGCGATTGAAACTTCGTGGCCCATGCGCAGAAGTCGGTTTTCGGCCTGGGCGAGTCTATTTTGAAGAAGTGGCGTTAGAAGAAGTGGGGGGTGTCAGTCAGTAGGGCGATGGGAGAAGGGGCTCAGGCGGGCCGTGGGATACACAGCACGGGGGAGGTACATTGTTATAAGGTACGTTCGCTGAGGTCGACCCCGTCCAGTCCAACTCTCCCATCCACACTTGTCTATCTGAAACAAGTATACAAGATGAGTGTGGATGGGAGAGTTGGAAGGGGTCGACCTCAACAAACGTACCTCAATCAGATTGAGGACGTTTTTAGCAAAGGCCAGCTTAGGAGTACCCTAATTAAGTTAATAACGACATACCTACCTATATAGTTTAAGTTTAAAAAATTTGGCTCTCAAAAGAAATTTCAGTCGTTGTACTGTTGATATTTGGCTCTGTTGACTAATGAGTTTGCTGACCACTGCCCCAAAATGTCAGGGTTACTTTAGAATTAGCCCTTTTTAGCCTTCTCAACAGTAGCAGAAAGGAAGTCATAGTAACAGAATTAAGCCTACTTGGGTCTGCTTTGTGCTCACTGAAAAGTTATTAAGCGAAGGGTTCCCACAGCTTAGGAGAAAGAAAGTAAACTTATGTGCATGAGGAAAGGGGTGGGGCACATGCATGCACTGCGCCCTGTGGGAAGCTATTTCTGTCTTTTGCAGGGAATTTTAAGGGAGGCCTCACTCAGAATATTCATCAGCTTTCCAGGTGTGTCCTTTAATATGCTGATGCATCAATCTCTGCTCAAATTCACCCCTATCTTGGATTTGTTAGCCTCTAATTGTTGTTTTTTTTTCTTTCATTTATTCCCCTGACTTTATTCATTTGGGTTTGATTAGCACTAATGGCACTAACTGAGTCTCTGTTATCTATCTGTCTGATTGGGTTATTTAAGCTTCCTGCTCTCTGGTTGGGAAGGAGACATGTAAACCATCTGCTCCTAAGGGTCCTTGGTTAGGGAGGAGAGGGACTTGTGATTTATCAGCTGGATGTTAATTGTTCAGCTGTTCCTTCAGCTCAACGGTTCTCAACCTGTGGGTCGCGACCACTTTGGCAGTCGAACGACCCTTTCACAGTGGTCACCTAAGACCATCCTGCATATCAGATATTTACATTATGATTAATAACAGTAGCAACATTACAGTTATGAAGTAGCAATGAAAATAATTTTATGGTTGGGTCACATGAGGAAGTGTATTTAAAGGGCCAGAAGGTTGAGAACCACTGCTTTAGCTAGTTTGTCTCCGTTTTTTCTCATTTCACTTGTCCAGGAATTTTCCTAGCTTCTTACTGTCCTGCCTGGCATGGCAGGAAGTGGGAGGTTGACCCCTGCAATGACTGTCTACCTTGCAGCCCCACAATCAACAGAGCCCTCAGCTGGGAGTTAAAACTTGGAGAACTGTGCCTGGGACAGGCCCTGAGCTACCAGGCTCCACCTGCAGCTTCCTGTGGAGAGGAGCTGAACTTCCTCTACAAGATTCTGGATTTTACCTTGAGAATGAAGTAAATTAGAACCAATAAATGGGCACTGTCCCATGCAAAGTGACACCAGTGCAGGGTGTGTCCCGAGAATATTCTTCCATGCTTCTCAGGTTCTTACAGGAGACCTTTGGATTTTTGATGAAGAAAGAAGCTCTAAGACATATTGGCATGTTCCTTTATTTCTCTTAAGATAGCAGAGGACATCAAATTAAGAATCAAATCATATACCTGCCACCTTCAGCAGAAAAGTGGGGACACAGGATTACACTTAAATCAACAAGTTCATTGTGTCGGCTTTCTTGTTCTTGGAGGTGGAGAGCCAGAGTCTTGGGTGCAGAGTCCTGAAGATATCTTGTCTTGTGCACAAGCTTACCTACCTGGGATCAGAAAGCAGCCACATTACATGGATCTTAGTAAAAGAGAACCCTTCTCAAGTACAGGTGTCTTGCTAGACTCCGCTTCCATTAGAGGACAGCTCCAAGAGCTGGGATCCAAAGTTCCAAGAGCTGGAATCCAAAGTTCAGTAATAATCTCATTCAGAAGAAGGTCCTGACAGAGTCCGCAAAATGTATTGAACATGTTAGCAATGTGACCTGAGCAGAAAAATAATGAGTCCAGGAGGTGGTACCTCTGCACATTATTATGAAACAACTGGGACTTCTGTAGGGGCATAGGCAGTGGTACCTAAGTCGAGTGTAAGGGGGTTGAATCACTTTCCACAGCAGGAGTTATCTAAGCTAAGACCGGGATCCATTCCCCCTGTGGTCTTGATCTTCACCTCTCTTGTGGCTCTAGGAATCCAGTAGACTTCAGGATCAACAAAAAGCAAAATTTGGGCTAATAGAAAAACCCAGCTCAACAAGCACAAGTGAAAAACAAATCTGTTTTTGCCCCTACTCCTAGCCATTCCAAACCTTCAAGGTGTCCATTTCCACTGTCTGTCTTCAGCCAGAAGTGACCTTTTTGCATCTGGATGGCACAGGGAGGGCTGTGGTGGCCACTGGACAAGGCTCTTGGGTGAGGCTTCTACAAGGTTGGAAGACATCCTGCTAGCTTCAGAGGCACATTCCTCCAGAGGCTGTCATTCTACCCGGACAGCTGGCTTGTGAGAGCCAAGGGAGGCAGCCTGGAAGCCCGTGTGGCAGCACTGAGCATGGACATGTAATGCCCAGCAAAGGCATCATCAAAGCACCATAACTTTAGGGTTAGAAGGCAACTCAGATGGCAATGTGTTTGCGTATTTATTTATTTTTTTATTTATCTTCACTGAGGACATGCTTAGAGAGAGGGGCAGAGGGAGGGAGCGGGGGGGAGAGAGAGAGAGAGAGAGAGAGAAACATTGATGTGAGAGAGAAATATCAGCAACATTATAGGTTGCCTTCCATACATGCAATGCCCGGGAATCGAACCCACAACCCAGGTATGTGCCCTGACCAGGATTCAAACCAACAACCCTGCAGTGAACAGGACAACACTCAGCCAACTGAGCCACTCAGGCTGGGCAATGGCAATGTGTTTAGACATGAAGAAACCTAGACCTAATGCCTGAAGAGTCAGAGCCAGGACTCAAAAGCAGGTATTCAGACTTCAGCTGCCAAGCTGGTCAGTAGCTCCCCTAGTCTCCTCCACTGCGTCACTTCTCCAAGAGTTCCTCAATTAGGTGAGGATGGATCTCCTTCAGGGCTCGGTAGAGTTGATCTTTGCAGGCCCAGTCACAGGACTTGATGATGCTGAACAGCTTCCTCATCCTGTCTGGATTGGTGGGCTCAGCCCGCACCCTCTCATACTGCTCGTCGCTCAGCACCGGTCCATGCAGCTTGTCTAGGACTGCATCCACCGATGTCACTCGAGCCACCAGTTGGGCCCGATGTTGGTCCACAAAGTGCAGCAAGTTTGGAGCATTGGGGGATGAAGGTGAGGCTAACAACGAATAAAGAAGGGCTCTCAACACAGTTTCTGCATCTGATCCCCACCTGTAGTTCTTCACTCACCTGATCTGCATTCTTGGCTCCTCCCCCACCCATGAAAACATTGGACCACAGAGAGGCACCTCTGCCTACACTCAAATACCTGATGGAGGCATTTTAGGTTGCCCCATGGAGGGTGCTAGGGCCTCCATGGGCAGACATAAGGGGGATGGGAAAGGACTCTGCCCTGGGACACACACCACTCTCCAAGGACCAATCCCTTGTGAGGTGTGAAGAGTTCCCTTCTTTCTCTCCTCCCTCCCTCCAGGACCAGGTAGCACACTCCAATACTGCCATGGCTCCTGTGGTCTCTAACACTGTCACTGACCTGTCAGGGCTTGAGAGACCAGTGGAGCTGCAGGTCTGAGGTCTCCTGGAGGAAAAAATATATGAATAAGCATCAGTATCAGTGGTAGTTATTAACACAAATGATAAGCCTTAAAAATCCTACCCATGTCTCACTTCTGAGATTCTTTGATTCCTAGACGTGGCTACAGACTAATCCTGATAGGAGTTGGAGTAAGCATTGCAAGGGGCCTTATAAATTATGTAGGGGAATCCCTTCCATATGTGTATGGAGAAACTGAGGCCCAGAAGCCATCATCATAGACAGAGAGACAGAGTGAGAGGAAAAGTTCTTCCTCAACAATGCAGACATGGTTTAATTTAGTCTTGGCCTGTATGGAACCCTGGTGGAGAAATAACCGAGTTCCTTACAAGGTAGCTTCAACTATGAGATCTTATTTTGAGCAGAAGGTTACCTCCCTGTCCTTGGCTTATAGACACACTGTTCTGAATTTTGATATCAGAATCAAGATCAAGAAAATCTTAGCACTGGGGTAATGGATGAATTTCAATGGGAAAAAGAAACAACAACAAAAGAAGGGTTTAAAAAATTACTTGCATAAGGAGAGAAAGGGGGAGTCCACAGCAGCCCCTGTGGACACGGCCTGAGGTTTTGAGAGGACCCAAGTTCAGTGTGACCTGACCGTGTGGGAGGGAAGCCAAGCACAGGGGAGCTTGGGTTGTGGTGCTGGGAGCAGCGGGTTCACTTGGATGGAGGGAGGAGGGTGTTCCACGTCCTCCATGCTGACTGGACAGTCTTAGAGTTCATCCTGACTTGTCCTCATATGGGCACATCTACTGAGGAAGGTGACTGACAAGGCAAAGATATAAAATCCAAAATATAAAAGGAATGTTAGAAGAAAACAGAAATGTTTAACTTGCACAGGAGGAGACCTAACATAGGCCGTGATCTGTCTTCAGGTACCTAAAGAGGTTTCTCATAGGAATGCAGATAGATTCTTCTCTCAGTTCCAAGAAGCAGAATTAAGATTGAGAGGAGGAAGAGGAACACTTAATATGAGAAAAATTAACAATATCACTACTCTTTATAAGGACCAAAGCATGAGATATGTACATACATCGTGTATTTAATCTTTCCAACAATCCTACAATTTAGACAATATAACCCTCCTTTTATAAATGAGACTCAGATGAGTTAAGTAATTTTCCCAAGATCACCCAGCAAGTAAGTGTCAGAGTGAGATTCAAATGAGGTCTGATGCTGGGGATGATTAGTCCACACCTGGGATTACACCCAAGCCATGACTAAGTCACAACCATTCTCTTTCTCTGCACTGGGAAGACTGTAGCAACTCAGAAGGCAGATTTACCATATTTCAACAGTGAATATGGGCTGGTTTTTCCTAAAAGGACTTTTTTAGGGGGATTTTCTTCTTGGAAGTGTTGGTGCTGGTTTAAAAGACTATAAAATTGCAATCTTTCCTGAAAGTTTGTTATTTGATTCCCTCTTGTCTACTTTGAAATATCTGAGCGATCCAGGTTAAATGTATGTGCTATTGCCATAACTGGCTTAATTCATACAACCATATAACCGTCTAATTTTTTTCTCATCTCATGTCCAATATATTATGAGAAACTTTGCCAAATGCCTTGTGGGTTTCAAAATCTGTTAAATCAAGGGCAGTGTAGAGAGGGAATGGAGCTTAAAGTCAGATTAACTTGAGTTCAAATTCTAGTCATGCCAACTGTTATATCATGCCAACTGTTATATAACTAGAAAAAGTCACTTCCCTAGGCTATTTCTTCTCATCAGAAAATTGTAATCACACACACACACACACACAGAGGCAGAATATTTTATTGACTATCTGTTTCCCACCACTGAGCTCCCTGAACTTGTCTTTACTTTACCTGATTTCACCAAGGCCTCCCATACCACAGTCTCATCATTTTTGCTTTTAATCTGTAGTCGGATCCCTGACCCCAAATGATCAACGTAGAACTCAGAGAAGAGCTGGGCTTTCCCAGGGCTTCGATAGCAGAGCTCCAGTTCCTGTAGAAACAGTGGTGATGTGAGAAGCCACCATTCATCCTGCAAGTGAGGTGTCTCCCAACCTAACACCTTCTTGGCCCTGCTCAGCCCCATGGGGACCCTGGGGTGATCTCCACTGAAATTAATGCCACCTCAGGCACTGCTCTCTTCCTCATTTTCCACAAATCCTGACTCAGAAGGAAGAGGACATGGCTGGGTCAGGACTCATCTCTAATGTAGTGCTCACACATCTTAAACAAGATCCTTCTCCCTCCATCTTGAATCAGATCCTTCTTCCCTTGAATCAGATCCCTCTTCCTCCACCTCCTCTATCTTGAACCCAAATTCACATTTCTCCAGCCCAAGGCCTGTCTAACACTTTCAATCAACAGAAAATTCATGTGCTTGACACACTTTTAATCACCAGAAGATTCATATCCATCCCCTTTGCTATATCCATCCCCTTTGCTAAATCACATTCAAGATGACTCTTGATTCCAAACTGTCTTTCATAAATGTTCTCTTCCCATTTTCCCCACACTCAGTAGATAGCACTACCACCCACTGAGAACTCATGTTTCAGATTCAGGCATCATCCTTAACTCCTACCTTTTGCTTTCATAAGCCAAGTCCTATTGGCTGTATCTGCAACATATACACTCAGTCCATCAACTTATCTTCATCTCAGCTGCTTCTTCCCTAATCAAGGCATCTGTGGCTCCTGCCTGTACCATAGCAACAGTCTTTTGTTTTCACTCTTGTCTTCTTATCACCCATTCTTACCCAGCAGCCAGCAGCATCTATGTGAAACTAAAGCAGGTCTTGTATTACCAAGCAACAACCTCTGAGATCTAGTCATTGCACTTAGAACAAAATCCAAACTCCACATCAAGGCAACAGAGTTGATGGGCCCTAGGAAACCTCTGTCTCTTGTGTGACTCCACCTTACTTCTCTCTTTGCTACACTCAGTAAGCTGTGCCACACTGACTTCCCACTTGTCATGTGGAGGAATCAGGGTGCCTGCTCCTCTATGCCTCTGGACCTGAAGGGCTCTGTTACAAATATTCACCTCCTAGGGCCCTTCATGTCACTCAGGTCTCAGCTTATAAGTCACTGCTCAGAGGCTTCTCCCCTGACCACCCAGTATAAAGCAGCCCAAGTCACTCTCTTAAGTGATGTAGTTGTGTTTTCCTCACAGCACTTCATGGTTCTTGGTCCATTTCTTTAATTATGTAGGTCTCATCCACCAGAATGTCATCTTCCCAAGGGCAGGGCCTTTCTGGCTTGTTCACTGGACTATCACAAATGAAGACAGCACATGGTTGGCACTGGGTAAATGTGTGGAGAGTGACTGTGTCATGTCTCTCATCCCTTGTTAAGAACTGACACAGCAGGAAAATCTAAGGTATTCATTGTTGGATTCATGTTTCTCAACTCAAAATATATATAACATTTCTCATTACTCCTGGAAATGTATTCCATCTGTCATTGTCACTTCAAGTGGTCCAAGGACTCATCTCAGAACAGAAGAAAAAGAATTGACTCTAATTCAACAACAGACTACCATTCAGGTGAAACTCTGATCCTCAGCAGCAAGATCTTGGCAATGGTGAACATTTGGATATCATGGATGAATGCCCACTGGCCTGACATCATTCCCTTTGGTGAAAAGGGGAGATTGAGAAAGGATAGAAGACAGCTCCTGATGCCCAGACCTGATGTGATGCTCACGATTAGACCTCATTGTTATTGCAAACTAATCTGATGCTGCCATCTCTGCTGTGTTGTCCTCCTGTTGGACATATACAATCTCACAATCGCCAAACATCATTCCATCCCACTGCAGATTTGACTTTTTCAGCTATTATATCTTCACACTTCATTGTCTGCCCTTCCTAGAGAGAAAATGTGTAGAGGTTCCCAATTACAGAATTGCCCTACCTCCTCAGAATACCAGATCTAGACCAAATCTCCATTTCCTTTGATCTTCCCCCAAATTACCTAAATCCTGAAATAGGTTCTTTCTGAGTGTCTTAATCTGAGGGACCCCATGGTTCTCACTAGTGTGTGTTTTCTCACTGCAATGAATAATAACCCCAGTGTTCAGCTATGGATGTATTCCTGGTGTTTTGCTTGGAGAGCATCAACACTCTACAACCCAATACTTCTCAGTTCCCCTAAGTCAGCAGTTCTCAACTTGTGGGTCGTGACCCCTTTGGGAGTTGAACCACCCTTTCACAGGGGTCGCCTAAGACCTTCGGAAAACACATATATAATTACATATGGTTTTTGTGATTAATCACTATGCTTTAATTATGTTCTATTTGTAACAATTCAAATACATCCTGCATATCAGATATTTACATTATGATTCATAACAGTAGCAAAATTATAGTTATGAAGTAGCAAAATAATTTTATGGCTGCGGGTCACCACAACATGAGGAACTGTATTAAAGGGTCACAGCATTAGGAAGGTTGAGAACCACTGCCCTAAGTCAAACCCCATTGCTATTCCTATCCTGAATGTAACCCTTCATCCTACTAGTGATTTTTTTTCCAATTTTTGAAGGATTCCTGCTCACCCCAAATCCCACTCACTATCTCCCGAACCACAATTGGGCCTGTCCCTTGGAAAGCTCTGAGACCTGATCCACAGGTATTCCAAAACATGACCTCTGGCCTTAGGGAGTGGTGAATATCTGGACTGCTCACCTCAGGGATTATTTCCATTTTCTGTGAACCAGACACAATATATCGAGAGCCTATGTGGAGCGGAGTCAGCGGGGGTGGCTTGTGTATTCGCACAAACTGGAACTTCTTTTTTTCAATATCTACGGCCTAAGGAGCATAAAGAACACTGATCAAGGGAGGAGGGCAACTTTGTCTTCCTCAGAGATTCCACTCTATGGACTCTGATCTGAACAAAGTGAAGTGGGGCTTTCACGTGTTGATGTTGGTGGGGGTGCTATACCACCATGAACTCTCCCTCCCCTGTCCCCCATGACTGCTACAGAAACCCACCCACTTGTCCAGAGCTATGTTCAGGGTGGGAATTTGGGCATTGATAGAGAAGAAATGAGAATGGAGAAGTGGGTACACCTCTGTGGATGGAGCCCTCCCATCCTTCTGACTCCTGGAAAGAGATTGCGAAAGGGTGTCCAGCAATGAGTAATGGACCAGTGAGCCCAGTTGGGGGAGGTCTTAGGGACCTACAAGACTAGTCTATATCTTATCCTTACGCCCACTTGACCCATCCAGGGGGCTTTCTGGATGCATGTTTTGTCTTTGTCAGCCCACCTTGGCCTGACTTTCTGGCTATTGGAGTACCTTCTCAATGGTGCAGTCGCTGGGGAGTAGGTAGAGGTGGAAGTTGACTTCCTCAGAATGGAGGCGATGGTAGAGCAGCACATTGGAGATGACAGGAATGTTCAGGAAAGAGTGGATCTTTCTTAGTAGAACTCCCATGGGAGAGAAGCTGGGGTTCTCGAGGACTATGTAATGTGGCTCCACCATGGTTGGCTTCTCCAGAAGTATCCCATCCTCTTTAAAGTGGGCTACTTGGAACCATGAGATGTCCACATGTTCCTCTGTGAAAAAAATGGATTTGAGAGATGAGTACTTAGTGCCCTCCCTGAGTCAGGCTTGACTGGAGCAGTGTGGTCCTTGTGCAGAGGTTCAGTGGCCTTTCTGGGGGACCCTGCAGGAAGTGTCTTGTGTCTTGGGCCTTTTGGGGTTGTGGTCAGTAGGTTCTCTCCAGTTGGAGCACCGCTGGAATCTTCTTAAGCCAAATCTATACACACCCTCAGGTCCTTGAGCTGGGAAAGATATGGATCCCATGGTTACCTGTGTTACTGTGCAATCTGTAACTTTGAGGACCATTGAGTAATGCTGGCAGGTGTGACTCCAGTCAGATAGAAATAAGGAGAAAGTGAGTCGGAAATGGAGTGACCAAGGTAGTGTACATTTGTCGTGTTTGGTCACCCACCATTTTCAGATTCTTCTTTTTGTGAAGAACCTCCTCCTTCATCATTGTGTGGGTCTTGGCTTAGTACAAGCTGGGCCTCCCACTTGGGAAGCTTGTTGCACAGGTGTGTGACCAAGACTTGACCAAGTGGATGCTTCTAACCAGGGCCTTGATCTAGAGGTGATGAAGCACATATGAAAAGACAGAGATTCTTGTGGCAGCAGCAATGAGGTTAAGAGACCAGCAGCCACCATGGCAGGAGGGCTCTATAGTGGCTGTGTCTGCCCTAGAAGTCTCTATATTTTTCCTTGGCTGTGTTCTTGTTTTCTCAACAGTTTTTGGTCACTGCTTTTTTTTTCTTTTCTCTGTAGGAATTTAGCCTAATTTTTTCTTAAGTCTATGAGCTACTCAATAATCTTCTCATATATTCTTTTTCTGTCCAAATCAGCCTTAGTCTGTATGGGCACCAATCAGCACATTTGGATTGATTTAATACCAGGAGGAGCCTTGGAGACTGCTACTTAACTTTACTAATTTTTTAAATGCGTAAAAATATATTTTTAAAATATATATTTGTTAATCCTCATCCAAAGATAATTTTTTCCATTGATTTTTAGAGAGAGTGGAAGGGAAGGGGAGAGACAGAGAGAGAGAAATGCCAGTGTGGGAGAAACATATCAATTGGTTGCCTCCCATACTTGCCCCGACTAGGGCTGGGGATTGAGTTTGCAACTGAGGTACATGCCCTTGACCAGAATCAAACCCAAGACCCTTCAGTCTGAGGGCTGATGCTCTAACCACTGAGCAAAATTGGTTAGGCCTATTAGTTGCGTTTTTGCATGAAAAATATTATCATGGTGGTGTATACCACCTGATAAAATACAGAAGTATTTACCTCTGATCTCACTAAACAGTACAACTATTATTACCATTTTTCCCTTTTCTATTAGTCTTTCTCTGTAGCAACACCTTTTCATGTTTCCATTTTGGTCATGTAGCTTTGTCTCCTGACTTTCCCACACTGGTTTAAATTGTCGCAAGCGCCTGTGGGCCTTTCTAGTGACTGCAGTGCATGATTCCTGCTGCGGATGCAGCATCCCTCATTCACCGCTTTCTTCTGGTTTCAGCGTTGGGGTTGCTTCCACCTCTTTGCCCTGATAAATAGTCCTGCAATGCACATGTTTCTGCAGAGAACTTTTCTATTTCCCTTGAGCTACTACCTTGGATTGATAAGTCCTAAGGGATGAGAAAAGGGTGTGAAAGGATGTAAGCAATTCTATAACTTGCCAGGTTTTGCCAAATTGCTTCTCCATGAAGTGGTGCACTTTGCATTGCTTTGGTGACACTAAGTGGATGTTACCTCGTCCTCCACAAATTGAAATATTCTCACTTGTTAGTGGGGTGAACTGAAGCCCCTGGAGGGAAGTGCTTTTCGGAAGGTCACGAGTCACCTACAGCCTTTGGGTGAGATCCCTGCTCTCAGGGCACAGTTTGCGGCACTACAGACACTCTGTGCCTGAATTCTGTTTCATTTTAAAAATTTATGATGATGATGATGATGATGATGATGATGTTGTGTGTGTGTGTGTGTGTGTGTGTGTGTGCGGGCATGAATTCTGGAAGGTGCTGTGTGTGTATCTAACTTGCCTTCTTGCTAGGGTGACCCATTGTCCTGGCTATCTCACACCTCCCCACCACTGCTTTACTTCTGAGTCTTCCCTAGTTACTCTTCCCTACTGACCCTGTCTACCAAGGCAGGTGCCCCTGGACCCTGGAGTCTCTCCCCTTGGGACTGGCCTTTGTTGCTCATGTGCCGTGCTCTCCTCCTAATGGGCAGCTTGAATTGTTTACTTAATCTTGTGGTCTCAACAAATGAGCCTCTTTGGTGTCTGAGTAGTTCTTTGCTGTTTTAGTTTTCTCATTCTATTTTTTGTTTCTACTAATTTGTAAATTCTTCTTCTTATATACATATATATTTTTTGACTGAGGATCCTAATATTTTAGTGTGTGTACTGAAAGTCTAAAGTAAACCAATGCCTGTACCTAGAGATGATACTGAATGGATTTAACTACTGGAAGTGTGCTATAATCCTATATAATAAAAGGCCAATATGCAAATTGTCTCCTTGGGAGTTTGACTGGGAGACCTGGAGTTCGATCACTCGCTATACGTGCACTGAACATCAAATAACTGTTAATCAAGAATTACAGCCACAGAAAAATTATTGCTGAGGGACCCTACCTGTGCACGAATTCCTGCACCAGACCTTTAGTTCTATCATAATTAAAGTTCCTGTCTGAATCATGATTTGACATGGGGAACTGAATCAGGTTCTTTCAACTTTCACATTAAATTGATAGACATTAGTTCTGTGGCAGCCAACGTTGCCTGGGGTGCATCTGATGCCACTCATGGCCTGGACTGGAAAGCCTGTGTTGCCTCAGCCTGCACATGTGCAGGCCCATTACTTGACTCTGTGGCCAATACTGGCTGATGTTGGCAGGTCACTTGTGGTCTCAAAAAGGGGAGAATTTCTCTTTCCTGATCAGGATGGAAATTTTTTAGCATTTTAACCCAGAAGGCAGTTCTAATGCGGCCTTCACCCTTCTTGTGAATTATACACTAAGTCCTTTGTATTTTTTAGCACTCTACTTGCTATTTCTGTTGACATTTTAGTTTTCTCTCTCTCTTTAAAATCCCCACACATTAGACATTATTACTGTTGCTTTATCCAGTCATTGGTTTGTTAGCTTTACCCAGTTGTGTGTCAGTGTCTTTGCTGATTATTTCATCTTGTACCGCACACCTTCTGTATGAGATAATTTTTCTTTTGCTTGAGTTACATCCTTTAGGATTTCCTTCAGTAAGTATTTGTGGAAAGATATCTTGGTTTTAGTTTGTTTTAAAATGTCTAATTTACCTACTTATTAAATAATAATTTTTTGTGGTTGTAATTCTTGATTAACAGTTATTTGCTTAATACTTTGAGGTTTTCATTCCATTGTCTTCTGTGGCCTTCTATTGTTGCTGTTCAAAATCAGTTGTCATCCTAATGGCAGTACCTTGCTCCATAATCTTTCTGCTGCTGTTAAAACCTGCCCTTAGATGTCTGCATTCTGTAGATTCACTTCAGTGGGTCTGGTGCTGATTTCTCTCTGTTTCTCTTTCCTGCTTTGAATTTTTGGGATTTCTCCTTCTTACAGCAATTATAGAAATTTCTTGGAAATTCACTCTTTTTTTTTTTCTTTAAATCTTTATTGTTCAGATTATTACATTTGTTCCTCTTTTTCCCCCCCATAACTCCCCTCCTTCCAGCTCCCACCCCACCCTCCACCCTCACTCCCCACCCACTGTGTTCATCTAAAGGTGCATGATTTTTGTCCAGTCACTTCCCGCATCTCCCACACCCCTTTTCCCCCCAAGAATAGTCAGTCCATTCCCTTTCTATGTCCCTGATTCTATTATAATCACCAGTTCATTCTGTACATCAGGTTATTTATTCACTTGATTCTTAGATTCATTTGTTGATAGATGCATATTTGTTGTTCATAATTTGTATCTTTACCTTTTTCTTCTTCTTCCTCTTCTTAAAGGATACCTTTCAGCATTTCATATAATACTGGTTTGGCGGTGGTGAACTCCTTTAGCTTTTCCTTATCTGTGAAGCTCTTTATCTGACCTTCAATTCTGAATGATAGCTTTGCTGGATAAAGTAATCTTGGTTGTAGGTTCTTGGTATTCATCACTTTGAATATTTCTTGCCATTCCCTTCTGGCCTGCAAAGTTTCTGTTGAGAAATCAGCTGACAGTCGTATGGGTATTCCCTTGTAGGTAATTGAGCCTCTTTCTCTTGCTGCTTTTAAGATTTTCTCTTTGTCTTTTGCTCTTGGCATTTTAATGATGATGTGTCTTGGTGTGGTCCTCTTTGGATTCCTTTTGTTTGGGGTTCTCTGTGCTTCTTGAACCTGTAAGTCCATTTCTTTCTCCAGGTGGGGGAAGTTTTCTGCCATTATTTCTTGAAATAGGTTTTCAATATCTTGCTGTCTCTCATCTTCTGGCACTCCAATAATTCTGATATTAGTCCGCTTAAAGCTGTCCCAGAGGCTCCTTACACTATCTTCACACTTTCGGATTCTTTTTTCATTTTGCTTTTCCAATTGGGTGTTTTTTGTCGAATCTTTGGTTTGATTCTTGAGCTCCTCTGGTCTGCTATTGGGTATAATATTCTTTATTTCAGTCCGTGTATGCTTACTTTCTAATTTCTTTATCGTAGCATCGAGGGTCTCATTAGTTTTCGTGAGGCTCTGCACAAATTTATGGCAAGCCCTCAAAATTGCGATTCTTAGCTCCATATCCTCCATTTCTGTCATGTTTTTTTGTCTCCGCATCTTTTATGCTTTCTTGGTGCACCCCCTTGTGGTCTCTGTGCGCAGTCTTGTTCTAGCCAAGCCTTAATTGTTGTAGTTAACACTAGAGGGATTTGACCACCAGGCCGACTGGCTGCAGGAATCAGCTGTGCGGAAAACGTCTGTCTTCTGGGGAGGCGCTAATCCAGCCTTTGCCTGAGGCGATCGGCAAATGGCTGTGCGCAGGGTTTGGGCGGGGCGGGCTCAACAGGGCGGGGGGAGGGAGCCGCTATGACTGCTCTCAGTCCGTCCCCAGGGGCTCTGCCTCTCTGTCCCTTCAACCGCTGCAAACCTCGGAGGGGCCGTAGCCAGACAGTCCCGCTTCTCCCGTTTGAGTCTGGGTCCCTAGAGACTCGCCCGGATCTGTAGCCCAGAGTCTGAGACTCACTCCTGATTGAAAACGACAACCGCGCCCTCAGCCGCCAGCCCGCTTTGCGCGCACACCACCTCACCACCGCACCACCGTACCTTTAAATTTTCCACACTACGCCTCCTCTGAGCGTCGGAATGCTGTTGTTTTTGCTTCTAGTTGAAGAGTCTCTCCTCAGCCAGCCTTCCTGTGGTTCTGGTTGATGTCCGTTCCGACTTTTAGTTGTATTTTTGAAGTGGTTGTTTACGGCGGCAATCTCCGGTGTTTACCTATGCCGCCATCTTCGATTCTCCCCGGAAATTCACTCTTTGAATATTACATTTTCCATTCTCTCTATAATATCTTTCTAGAATTCTTTTCTTATCTATACTTTATCATATTTTCTGTCAATTTAGCTTATTTTCAAACTTGATTTATCATTTTTATTTTTTAAAATATTTTTATTGATTTTAGAGAGGAAGGGAGAGGAATAGAGAGATAGAAACATTATGGATGAGAGAGAATCATTGATCGGCTGCCTCCTGCACGCCCCCTACTGGGGATCAAACCTGCAACCCAGGCATGTGTCTTTGACTGGAATCGAACCTGGGACCCTTCAGTCCGCAGGCCAATGCTCTATCCACTGAGCCAAACCGGCTAGGGCTGATTTATCATTTTTAGTGGTTTATTGTTTCTTGCTCATATTTTAAGGACTATTTCATTAAGCATAAGAGACATACTTATTTTGCATTCTCCTTTTGATAATTTAAATGTTTGAGGTCTTTTTAAAAAAATATGGAACGCTTCATGAATTGGTGTGTCCTCCTTCTGCAGGGACCATGCTAATCTTCTCTGTATCGTTCCAATTTTAGTGTATGTGCTGCCGAAGTGAGCACTGTCTGAGGTCTTTATGGGACTGATATCTGGTTGAGGTTTCTGTTGGTTTTCAGTGCTTCTGAGGTTTTGATTGTGAACTGTATATTTTTTGGAACTTTTCTGTGGGAAGTCTTTGGAGGTGAGAGAGGTTCGGATAACCATGTAACTCTATGACTACGTCTCTTACTGAAATGCTCTTCTTTTGTGGCTTGAGCTCTCACATGGAGTCTGGTGACACTGTTTCTCCTCCCTGCCTGTAGTAGTAGCAATCACTTCCCATTTGTTGTTCATTTTTAGGTGCCCCAACCTTTCTCGCTCATTCACTTAGCCTTACTTTTCAAATAATTTTGTCTCTGAAAAGTCTTTACAAAAATCTCAAATGAATATATCATATATTTTCTGCTGGGAACCTGAATGATACAACCTACATGAAGAGAACTTAATAAATGATAGCTATTATTGTTATTGAGGAGACATCTTTCTTCCTTCCTTCTCCCTTCCTCCCTTCCACCCTTCCTCCCCCTCTCTCTCTCTCTCTCTCTCTCTCTCTCTCTCTCTCTCTCTCTCTCTCCTTTCTTTGTTAATCCTCACCTGATGATATTATTTCATTGATTTTCAGAGAGAGTGGAAGAGAGGGGGAGAGACAGACAGAGAGACAGAGAGAAACATCGATATGAGAGCATTGATGTCTCACATCGATGGTTGTCTCCCACATGTGCCCTGACCAGGGCCAGGTATTGAGCCTGCAACCAAGGCATGCTCCCTTGACCGGAATCAAACCCAGGACCCTTCAGTCCACAGACCGGTGTTCTATCCACTGAGCCAATCTGGTGAGAGCGAGGAGACCACTTTCTATTGAGGGAAACTTTCCAGTAATTCAGGCAAAAATAATTATGATGCTTGGGGACACAATGTTTCAAAAAAGATATGCCCAGAGCAGTTGTGGAATGAGAAAGAAAGCTGCTGCCACTTCTATAACTTTCTCTCAGTCTGTCTAAGGAAGCCACAAACTCCCCTCAGGATATTGAAAGCCATTGGAAGCCATTTCGGACCCATTCTCACCACCATCACCTTCCCTCACACCTCCCTCTCACTCACCTTGGAGGGCTATAAAGTGAGGGAGGTATACAGCTTCCACAGCTCCTGGTTCAGCCTTGATGTCAAAAAGAGGCCCCGCAACCATCCAGCTGTGCTGTGGGACAATCTGGTCCAGGAACTGGTCCCAAGCACAGAATTCAATCTCAATGGTCACTGGCCCTCTCACCACAAAGTAGATACCTGTGTTGGGCCAGTGGTAGGAACCAGCCACAGGGAAGTGAACTCTGGGGATAGCAGAGAGAGGTAGACATTGAATTAATTACTCCACACAAGCTCACAGACTATCTACTGGGTGCCCAACCCATGCAGTACACTTTGTATCTAGTAGAATGACTGCAAGCTCAGATGTGACAGCTAGAGGGATTTGGGGTTGAGTCTTGGCTCCTCTGCTCTCTACTGTGGATTCTTGAGCAAGTCATTGAATCTCCCTAATCTCAGTTTTCTTATTTGTAAATAAAAGTAATAGTAGCACCATCTCATAGAGTTGTGAGTAATAAGTGACCTAATGTATGCTGACAGCTTAATATCTGCCTGGGGGTGGTGAGCTGTTTCTATAATGGCGATGATAAAGGGAATAATAATAATACTATCTATATTAATAAAAGGGTAATATGCTAATTAGAGTGGACGTCTTCTGGCCAACCTTCCTGACGTTCGTCCTGACAAAGCCGGGGGCATGGCCAGCCTGCAAACCACCTCAGGCCCCTTGCCCAGGCCGCTCCGCCCCCCGAAGGGACCCCACCACCCCAATTAGGGGCATGGCCAGCCTGCAACCCAGGGCATGGCCAGCCTGCAAACAGCCCTCAGCTCCTTGCCCAAGCCATTCCCATCCCCAGAGGGACCTCCACCACAATCGGGGGTGTGGCCAGCCTGAAAACTTCCCCAGGCTCCTAACCCAGACCGGCCCTGCCCCCAGTGGGGACCCCCACCCTGATAGGGGACGAGGCTGGCCTGCAAACTCTGTGGCCGCTTCCCTGGCGGCCCCTCCCCACTACAGGCTCCTCCCACCCTGATTTGAGACCCTCTTCAGGGAAGGCCAGCCGGACCACACCCATGCACCAGGCCTCTATCCTATATAATAAAAGGGTAATGTGCAAATTGACCTTAATGGCAGTACAAGCAGAACCAGTCACTATGAGGTGCACTGACCACCTCTCGGTCCCTTCCCTCAGCTGTCAAGCACTGATCACCTGATGGCGAATGGGGAACGGGGGTTGGGTGGCAGGGGGGGCGGGGCCAGCTGAGGGCAGCTTGGGAAGATGGCCCTGATCGCAGGCCAGGCCTAGGGACTGTACCCGTGCAAGAATTTCATGCACCAGACCTCTAGTTAATAATAAAATAGGAAAATTTTCTTGTTTTTGAAGGGCATATTTTTCGATAATTAATAAAAATCTACATGGTGATATTATTGATAAACACTTGGAGCTGAAAAAACACTTGCAGAGATATTACAGAGACTTTCCCCAGGTCCCCATTGGTAAAGAGTGGGTTCCTGGGATGTCACCTTCTGTGTGTGTAAGTTTGGAGTAATATTCCATTCCATTGAGATTATGTCAGTGAAAGTGAGTGGGAATGTGTTATGTAAGAGATTAGAGCTGAAATGATAGACATTTATTACTTAGGACTGGGAACCCTTGGAAGGCAGGCTGCCATATTCATCTCATGGCCCTTGTTACAGGTATGGTACTTTGCACATAGCAGATGCTAATAAAACAGAAATGGGTAGATGGAATGAGATTTATGAGACATAACAAACCAAATGCAACCAGTGGACTTTGTTTGGATCCTGATTAGAACAAACCACCTACAAAGACACATTTTGGACAGTTGAGCATACAGTGGGGCCTTGACTTACGAGTGTCCCAACTAATGAGTTTTTTTGAGATATGAGCCATCTCTCGGCCGATTTTTTGCTTTGAGTTGCAAGCTCAAAAAAATTCGGGTTACGAGCCAGCTTCAGATACCCCACCACTAGTTGGCGCAGCGAACGTCACAGTGATTTGACATACGAGTAATTTGAGTTATGAGCTCTGTCACGGAACGAATTAAACTTGTAAGTCAAGGCCCCACTGTATTTGAATACAGACTAGGTATTAGATGATATGAAAATGACTTATTGTAAATGTTGTCAGATATAATGGCATTGTGGTTATAGGAGAAAAAGTCTTCATTTGTACTCTTCAAAATGCATCACAAAAAATTCATAGGTAAAATCACCTGATATCATGGATATAAAATACTATAACTACAAAAGAGGGGGAAAGTGAATAGTTAGGACAAATTTGGTAAAATGATTGTTGAAGATGAATAATTTCTAAGTGGAAGTTCCTTAGGCTCTTTTTTCAACTTTTCATAATGAAACCTCTATTTCCATAATAAAAGCACCAACCCAGTATCTCAGCCCTGTCTCTGCCTAGTGACTTGGCAGTGGGAGGGTACTCAATGCCATGAGTGGGGTGTTGAGTGTCTGTTGGGACCCAGTGTGGGGATGGCAGGGGTTGGGGGCCAGCCTGGCACAGTGGAGCTCCCTCACTTACCGGTACAGACCTCTGTCTTCGTCCCCCACCTCTGGAGTCACAGGCCCTGTGGGGCCCCAGAAGTCATCATCTGTCCCTATAGATGACACTGGTATGTCCCCCAGGGGTTCAGGAGAAGACAGACAGAAGGGCTTCGCCTGTGCTAATTGCTGGGAGCTCTCCTCTGGAACAGGCAGGGCAATGGTCAACATTAGGGCTCCTGGCTGCCTCCCTCAATCCTTAGCCTCTACCAGGGAGGGGGCCTCCCCAAGGGTTGTCTGTCTGGACATTGGCAAGGAGTGTGTCTGTATCCTCTGTGCCTGATACTGGGGCTGCCTGCCTGCTATCTGAGGAAGCCCAACACTGCTGCCCTCTGACCCCAACCCTACCCATCTCTGCCTTCCCACTGGCACAGAGATATTGCTATTCCCAGCTCCAATGGCAAGGTAACTTGTGAAAGGAACATGGCTAAAAAAATGGATGGGCAGCGATGCAAAGTACCTTGGGAGACTGGACCATGGATCAGAGTCTGAGACGCTCCAGGGATATTCTGGGGAGGAACAGCCTCAGACCCTGAGGCAGAGAGAGAGGAAAGCAGAGATCTTGCCAGTTCCCAGGGTCTAGGTGTGGAAGATCTCGCATGGAGTGAGTTCCTGTAGGTGGGCATTTTTCCATGTCCCACACCAGAGGCAGGAGCATGGTGGGGCTCACCTTCCACGTTCTCCATCTCCCATCCCAAGTCATGATGCTCCCAGCCTGGCCCCTCAAAGTACCTGATTCAGGTTCCTGCCTTTGGAGTGGAGTTGTTTCTTCATCCATCTCATCCATCTGTGCTATCCCTGAATCTTCTGTAGGGGTCCTCATATTTGAATTCCTACACACAGAATTGTTCATTCTCCCGGAGATCTTGGAGAAAATTGGGGTTGTCTACATGACATCCTCACTTAAATTCAACCATCTGAGTTTGATCTCATCGCCTTCACCTGAGATTCTCCCATAGACCCTGTCTCCGTGATGGTCCCCATCCACCCCGCCATCAATGCTGGAACTGGGGTGTAGTCCTGACTCCTCTCTCCCTCTGAGAACTGATTGGCCACCTTGTCACTGGCTCTAGAATAGCTCTCTTTCTAGTCCCTCTCTCCACCTCCACAGCCTCCACCCCATGTCCAGGCCCTGGCATTTTCAGCTCAAACCACTGCACCCTCCCCTTTAAGTTCCCCTCTTCTCCTGTTCATCTCCTGGTCATTTCTGCACAGTAGTTGATCTTCAATAGGAACCTGACTGAGCACTTGGCTGCTGAAACCCTGAAATCTATTACTTTTGGGGGTAGAATTCAAAGTTCTTACCATGGCCTAAAGGCCTACTTGTGTCCTGTTCCTCTAATTCCACAGAAACCTTATCTCCATTCCCACCTCTGCCATTTTTCCTGCTCACTCAGCTCTAGTCCAATGCTTCTCAAAGCCCATACCTGGAAGCCTAGTTAAAACACAGATTCCTGGGCTCACCCCATAGATTCTGATTCAGCAGGTCTGGAGTGGGGCCTGACATGTACATTTTTAATGAGTTCTCAGGTGATGCTGATGCTGACACTGCTGATCCAAGGCCACACTTTGAGTAGCAGTGTTCCTGGTACCTGGCTTCCTTCTATTCCTCCCAGGAGCTGAGATCAGATCTCTATATGGGCGAGGAATCTACCCACTCTCGCCCAGCTAAACCCTTGCATTTTTCACAACTCAGCTCAGATGGTTTGGACAGAGTTTAATAGGCCAATCAATGTATTCACCCTGATCCCGGGCACAATGACACAGGTGTGGGGGGCAAGGGGGCGGCGGTAACCTAGGCCTGTGTCCCTGCTGAATTAAGCTCCTGGGAGTTGGGCCTGTGTTCAGGGTCCTGTCTGTGCCTAACACATTGTGGGTCTGAGGGGAATGGTTGTTCCTTGAGGAATGGCTCTTTCTAAGCCCAGTTGAGGCAGAGCAGTCAGAACCAGGGCACAAGCGCACTTGGCAGTCACAGGCCGGAATACACCAACATGAAAGGCCATGGGGCTGCAGCAGATGCCCAGGAGGAGCCGTATTCTCCTGTTCCCAAGGCTTCTCCTCAGCTGGGCTGTGTACATGGGTGTTTATATGTGTGGAGGGTGAAGGAGGGTGTTTTTTTCCACAAAAGCTCTCTCTCTCCTTGTCTTTGTCTCCCCCTTGTGGTCATTGGTTTCCATGTTCTAACTGCCATCAACTCACTCATTCACTTTTCTTCATTTGTTCATCTCCTTACTCATCATTTCTTGGAAGGATTTAAGCAAAGGAGGGGCATGTTCTTGTTTGAACTAAACAAACACACAAACAACAACCTCACTCTGGCTGCTGTGGTTTCTTGGCTTCTTCCTGCTTCTGTCTGTCTCCGCTTCCAACCTCAACCCACCCCACCCCACTTCTGGCCCATGTCTCTGGGCCAGCCTCTAGGAGTCAGCCCAGGGCCTGGGTCAGCTCCAGGGAGTTCTGTGTCTCCCCTCTTACTCATAACTGATGACCAGATGAGACTTATCCTGCTGCAGGAGCCTCAGCATCTCTGTCACCTCCGCACTCAGCTGAGTCCCGTCCAGCCTGCAAGCACAAAGGGAGCCTCGTTATCCTGGGGCCACCCACCATCTCCAGGGCCTCAGGGCCCAGAATCATGGAACCTTCCAGGTCCTGCAGGAACCTCTTGTTTTTGAATTGGAAAGAAGAGTTAGGAGGTTTATTAGGGAGTGTTGCTGGGTTAACACAAGGGCAAAGGAAGGGAGGAAACAGGACTGGGTAGAGGGACAAGTTGGAGTGTGATGCAGTCCCAAGGGGCACAGCTGACTCTGTTGGACTTCTGATGTGGGGATGACCCTCCTGGGCTGTCCATACTGGGAGGAGGGTCCTTATACCACTACCCCAGTCACTGGATGCAGGCCACCCCAGTTGGGCAGTGACCTTGTGTGAGATGGCCCTAGTTGGCAGAGCCATCCTTCTTGCTGGCACCACTCCCAGGGTGGGGATTGGGTCTTCATTCCTTAAAGGGGACTGGGCAGCACTTCACAGCATCCACCAGAGGGCAGTCAGTGTCCATGGCCTCAAATGACCACACAGGAGTAGGTCCTGGGATTTCCTTCTCAGAGGTTACTAGGCTTCCTGGAGAGAGAGTGCCCTGTTTCCATTCTCTCATGCCATGTGCTCTGGGGTTTCTGTTGGATTTGGGATGGCTGCTGCCCTCTCTGGGCCTCCATGTCCTCACCTGCAACATGGAGGTACCTGCTCTGCCTGTTATGAGCCTATGCCCTCCTGTAGCTCTCTGCCCGCTGCCCTGCCCTCCTGTAGCTCTTCTCTCTCCCCTCACCCCCTATCCCTGTCCCTCCTCTCACAACTTGCTCCCTGCCCCCTCCTGTAGCTTTCCTTCAGCTGCTTGTAACTTGCTGCCCCACCCTCCTGCTGATCCCTGATCTGGTTGTTATGCATCACAGCCTAATAACCATTTGCATATTACATCTTTATTATATAGGATTAGGAGTAACGGCTGAGCGGGGCATGGATGCAGACCTACTGCAAAGGCCCAGGTCTGGAGAGGCCCTTCAGCATATAGGAGATGGTGACAGCCACACATGCTCAGAGGGGAGGGGGCTGGGTGGTGGTAGCCCCATGGATGGAGTTCCCTTGCTTATGAAGGGTCAGAGTGGGCTCTGGGGGGACCCACATGTAGAGTGTTCACCTCCTGCTGGTTTAGGCTTGAGAAAGGAGGACTGGTGGAGGAAAAGCTGAGAGCCGGCTGAAGCCTCAGCCATGACTGAGGGGTCAGGACATGGATGTTTGGAGCCCTGTCAGCTCTGAGTGTGAGACAGGCCCCAGCCAGGAGCTGCAGGGAAATGTTCAGTCAGAAACTGGCTGTGGACTTGTTTTCAGGCTGGAGGGCGACAGGAAGTGGCCAGGAGACAGTGTGGGAAAAAAGGGCTGGGGGTCACTGCACCCGGCCACACCGCTCTCCAGAGCTCTGAGCCTGTTTCTGTCCTGGGGTCTCCCCCACGCTATTCTCAGCCTGGACTGCTCCCCCTGACTGGGCCTGGTCAACTCCTCTTTCTGCTTCAGGTCACAGCCTGATGTCACTTCCCGAGAGAGGCCCTCCCTGCCCCTGAGTCTAATTCCATCCCCCGCCCCCACCCCACCCGTTACATGCTCATAACACAGTGCACTTCCCATTCACAAACTGCACAGAGCTCAGAAATACACACTGTGTGTTAACATGTCATCAACATCTGTCCCCTTGTCACTGGAGTGGAAGCTTAAGGGGACAGGACCTGCGTCTGTGGCTCACTATTGTCCCTTCAGTGCCTGGCCCAGTGCTTGGCACATGGGAGCCATGAAATGAATGAATGGATGAATGAGTGAATGAAAGAAACCATGAAGGAAGGAAGGAAGGAAGGAAGGAAGGAAGGAAGGAAGGAAGGAAGGAAGGAAAGAAGGAAGGATTGTTTTGGATGGAGAAATGAACCTAGGATTCTCTAAGAACATGTGGTCTCACTAGTAATTATCATTGCAGCCTCTCAAATCTGTTTCCAGCGCTGTGATGCATTTTATTTCATCACATCTATGAAGTGGATATGGTAGTCCTGTTATAAAGATAAAGAAACCAAGTCTCATGGCCTAAGTCAGTGGCGGATCCGGTAGGGAACCCAGGCTGCCCAGGCATTTTGCTTCCCCTTTACTTCCCCTGTCCAATATAGGGCTCCCACACCCCTTTCCATTGCTCTCCCTCCCCGTCCCTGCCCTCTGCCCAGAAATGACCCCAGGGCCTTACCACAGGTACTTGAGGCGGCAGTTAGACTGCCTGAGTCCTTCAGAGAGCAGCCTCACACCGAGGTTGCCCAAGTCGTTCTGCCGCAGGTCCAGCTCTGACAGCATGATGTTGTTACTGAGCATGGAGACCAGGTCCTGGCAGCATCCAGATGTGAGGCCACAGCTGACGAGCCTGTGAGAGAAAAGCACATGGGCCGGAAGTCATTGTTCACAAGGCCCTCTCCTCAGGGTAAAGGCGGTCTGATTTCCCTCTCTAGCACCTGTGGCCCTTTGGGGGTCCTTGGTGACATAAAGGAAGATAAACACGTGTCTGGTTAATAGTAATCCGGGAGATTTTAATTTTCTCCTGCAGCCAAGGAGCCCCTCAGGATCAGACATTCTCCCTTTCTCAGTCCTGTGAGATTCCCAACAATCTTGCAACTCCCCTCATCAACATTATATGATTTATTTACCCAATGTTCCACTTGTGCACCAGGTCTGATTGTTAACTACATCGACCCTACCAAATGCCCAGGTAGCTGACACAGGATTCTTTGGTGGGTTTCAACACTAGCGTGTTACTTGCTTCTAACCCAAATCACCCCATCCTACCTAGCTCTCAGCTTCTCCCTGACCCAGGGTCTTAGGCAGCTCCCTCTCCTCCTTTGCCCACCCCTCAAAGCAGTGTCAAAGAGGAGCAATTACAGCAGTCGCCGCAGCTTGCAGTGAGAATGTCTCAGCTCCTGGAATAGGTGTCGGGCTCCGGTGTCCAGGAGCTTGTTGAAGCTCAGATCCAGATATGTCAGGTGCCTGTTGTCGCTCAGCACACGGGCAAGGGCCCTGCAGTCTTCTGCTGTGAGGCCGCAGTTGGCCAAACTGTGGGAGACAAACACTGATAGCCTTGAGTTTCCTCACCTGTTGATTCCACAGACACCCATGAGCACCCATGGGCACCTCTTCTGGGTCAGGCAGTAAGTAAGACCCCCCATATCTCCAGAAATGCACAGGTACTGGGGGATTGACATAGAAACACAGTCAAAAAATCTGAAAAGAAGCAAGAGAAAAGCAGTTACTTACCTACAAAGGGGTTTCCTTTGACTGGAATCAAACCCAGGACCCTTCAGGCCACAGGCTGACGCTCTATCCACTGAGCCAAACCAGTTTTCATGCAGCCCTTCTCTTGTCCTTCTGTCCCTGAAGGGCCAAGGCTTTTTTCTCCTGTGCCTTTGATTCCACACCCTCCTGCCTCCCCTCTAACCTTGTTCTTTCTGGAATCCCGTCTTCAGACCTCCAACCTCTCCTTTACCAATTCCTTCTGCTTTGTCCGTGTACTATGCTCAGTTTTACATGTCCATAACAAGCAAAGCACCCAGAATCCTTGAGTCTAGCATATTCAACTGATTTCCAGAGAAATCCAATTATTAGTTAGGACTTTGTTTGAAGGTCTTAGATATTCCTACATCCAAAGGCTGTAAAGCTTTCAGTTCATTCATATAGAATCAACTTTTGTAGTGAGGAAATATTCACATCTGCCTGATCCATCATTAGTTCCCCTGAAAAATCTCTTTTATTGCACTGCCCCACTGAGTCAGCATGAATTAGATCCTGACTTTCATGATGAAGTGCTGCAGGTGGTGCTGGGTTGTGTGCTCACTGCGTTCTAGTCCCAGTTCTCCCATTTCTAGCTGTTTAAATGTGAGCAAGTTGGTTCACTCCACTGAGCTTCAGTTCTTACTATCTGGAAAATGGAAGTGTTAACATGTCATCAACAACTGTCTCCTTGTCACTGGAGTGGAAGCTTAAGGGGACAGGACCCGCGTCTGTGGCTCACTATTGTCCCTTCAGTGCCTGACCCAGTGCTTGGCAATTGTAGCTTGGTGTCTCTCCACTTGTTGTGAAGTTTAAGGTAGAATAAAGTTTTCTGAGACCTTTTCAAAGGCTTTTCCTCCTGGATTCAGGTGGTCCTTATGAGAAGGGTTTTAGGAAAGGTGAAGAAGCCTCATGTGGATACAGGAGGCCCCAAGGACTGGATTTGTTACCATCCTCTCTTGCTCAACTTATCATACCAGGACTCTTCTTCAATGAGCAATTCCTTGACCCTCTCCTTTCTCCCAATTTCTCAGCACCTTCATTTTTTTCACTTTCCTTGGAATCTAGCTTAAATTCTATGATATGTCATCGGTAATATGACTGAATGACTTACTCTCTTACCTCTCACCATATCCCTCTAGCTAACCCAAACTCTGCCATTGTCCCACTACCCTACACTCACTCCCACCAGAGTAACAAGCGTGGCAGCTACAATTATGAATCACATGGGCTTCAACCATGCCTGGAAGGTGGAAATCTCCCACTCTATAAATCTCCCACATCAATACTTTACTTCCCCAAGTCTCCTACACCCCAACCTCACACTCATTGTCAGTAAATAACTGAATTTCTACTTCACAGGGAAGAGTGGAGCCATTAGGTTGAGAAAGTTTCCTCTTTTCTAGTTAAGTGAAAAGGTGTTATTAATGTGAAAGATATTGACTTTGTCAAATACTATGTCTATGTCTATTGAGATGATCATGTACTTTTTGTCCTTCATTATATTAAAATGATGTATTGTATTGGTCAATTTTCCTGAGTTAAACCAGCTTTGCATTCCTGGGATAAGTCCCTGTTTGTCATGCTTTACCATCCTTTTTATTTGTTTTTAGTATTTTGTTGAGAATTTTCATATCTGTATTCATAAGAGATATTGGTTTGTAGTATTTTTAATGCCTTGTGATGACTTTGCTTGTCTTTGTGTGATTTTGATATCAGGGTAATGCTGCTGTCATCGAATGAGTTGGCAATTATCCCCTCTTCTATTTTTCTTTTTCAGAGTTTGAGAATATTGTTGTTAATTCTTCTTTAAAGGTTTGGTACACTTAATCAATGAAGCCAACTGGGCCTGGGCTTTCCTTTGTAGGAATTATTTTTTTTTAATAATTTAATCTCTTTACTTGTTATAGGTTTATTTAGACTTTCTAAATCTCCTTGAGTCAGTTTCAGTAGTTGTGTTTTTCAGGAAATGGTCCATTTCATTTAGGTTATCTAATTTGTTGGCTTATAGTACTTAATATTTCTTTAAAGTTCTTTAAAATTTTTTTCTGTTAGGTCAATTGTGATTACCTCTCTTCCATTCCTGATATTAGTAATTTGAATTGTTTCTTTTTTTATGTAGTCAGTCTAGCTAAAAGTCTGTCAATTTTGCTGAGTTTTGAAAAGAACTAACTTTTGGTGTTATTATTTTCTGTATTTTTTTTTTTGTATTCTCAGTTTTATTTATTCCCACTCTAGTTCATATTATTTTCTTTCTTTGGCTTCCTTTTTTTTTAAGACTTTTTATTTATTTCAGAGAGGAAGGGAGAGGGAGAGAGAGAAACATCAACGATGAGAGAGAATCATTGATTGGCTGCCTCCTGCACGCCCCCTACTGGGGATCTAGCCCACAACTGTTGACCGGAATCAAACCTGGGACCCTTCAGTCCGCAGGTCAATGCTCTATCCATTGAGCCAAACCAGCTAGGGTCGGCTTGCTTTTTGTTATATTTTCTCCTTTTATTATTTCTTTTTGATTTTTAAAGTGGAACTTTAAGTTATTGATTTGACTTTCTTCTTTCTATCCCCCTTCTCTCCCTCTAACCACTTCCTGTTTCTTTCTTAAATATACTTTTGTTTTGTTTGAATAATTTTAATTTTCAAAAACATTTGGGCATAAACACAGAGATTTCCTACATAGCCCTGCCCCCATATGCACACCTCTCCCATCATCAACACCAGGCAGCAGAGCAGTAAATTTGTTGCAATCAGTGAACCTACATTGACACATCATGATCACCCAAAGTCCATAGTTTACATTATGGTTCCCTTTTGATGCTTTATAGTCTATGTTTTTTGACAAATATAAAATGACATACATCCACCATTCTTGTGTCATACAAATAGTCGCTATGCTCTATCTGTTTTCTCTCCCCCCAGCCACTGGTAATTACTGACTTTTTTACTGCCTTCATATTTTTGTTTTTTAAAGACTTTTACATTGTTGTGATTATACAGCATGCAGCTTTTCAAGTTGTGTTTTTTATACCTAGTAATATGAATTTATAGTTCCCCCGTGTATTTTCATAGCTTTATGGCTCATTTTTGCACACTGAGTAATATTCCATTGTATGGTTTTTACAGAGAGGAAGAGGGATAGAGAGTTAGAAACATCAATGAGAGAGAAACATCGATCAGCTGCCTCCTGCACACCCCCTACTGGGGATGTGCCTGCAACCAAGGTATATACCCTTGACCGAAATCGAACCCGGGACCCTTGAGTCCGCAGGCTGACTCTCTATCCACTGAGCCAAACCGGCTAGGGCACCATTGTGTGGATGTAACACAATTATTTATTTGCTTGCCTACTGACAGCCATCTTGATTGTTTTCCAGTTTGGGCAATTATAAATAAAGCTGCTTTAAACATTGGTGTGTAGGTTTTTGTATGGATATAGGTTTTCAACTCCTTTGGGTAAACACCAAGGAGCATGATTGGTGGATTATATGGTAAGGGTGTGTTTCATTTTGTAGGAATCTGCAAAGTGGCCATATTATTTTGTATTTCTACCAGCAATGTATGAGGGTTCCTTTTGCTCCACAACCCTGTCAGCATGTGGTGTTGTCAGTGTTCTCGATTTTGGCGATTCCAATGAATGTGCAGTTGTATCCCCATTTCTGTTTTAAATCTAGGCATTAATATCTATACATTTCTCTGTCAGCACTGATTTAGCTGCATCAAATAAGATTTGGTATGCTGGGCTTTTGTTTTTATTCATCTCAAATACTTTTTAAAAATATATTTTTATTAATTTCAGAGAGGAAGGAAGAGGGAAAGAGATAGAAACATCAATGACGAGAGAGAATCATTGATAGGCTGCTTCCTGCACACCCTACTGGGGATCGAGCCAGCAACCCGGGCATGTGCCCTTGACCAGGATCAAACCTGGGACCCTTCTGTCCGCAGGCCAGTGCTCTATCTAATGAGCCAAACCAGCTAGGGCTCAAAATACTTTTATTTGTTTGTTTGTTTATTTATTTTTCATAAATTTAAAAAATATATTATTTATTTCAGAGAGAAAGGAAGAGGGAGAGAGAGCATCAGTGATGAGAGAGAATCATTGATTGGTTGCCTCCCGCACACCCACTACTGGGGATTGAACCCACCACCTGGGCATGTGCCCTGACCAGGGATCATAACCTCTGGATTTTTGGGTCAGTGCTCAAACCCTGAGCCACATTGGCCTGGGTCAAAATAATTTTAAATTTCCCTAATGATTTCTTTTTCCACCCATTGTTTATTTAGGAGTATGTTGTTTCATTTCAATATATTTGTGAATTTCCTAAATTTCCATCTATTATGATTTTCAATTTCATTTTATTATGTTCAGATAAGACAATTCGTATGATTGTAATTCTTTTAAATTTGTTGAGTTTTGTTCTATGGGGCATCTTATTTTTGTTTACAGCTTTATTTGATACTTGTTGGACATCTCCCCCTGGTACCTCAAAGGAACTTGACACATGCACAAAATCACACCCATGACATACCATCCCCTCCCTCCCTTCTTTCAGTATTTCCATCTCAATGAAGGTGCCACTATCCTATGCATATCTCTGGCCTGAACCTAAGATCATCTTCTATATCGCCATCTTCCTTTCCCCATAAATCCAATTCATTACTCAGTCTGGTTGATTTTACTTTTCTTCAGATCTCTTACATCCATTCACTTCTTTCCATTTTCATGGCCAACACAGTAGTCTAAGACACCACCATTTCTTGCAGAAACTGTAATTTCCCTTGGCCCAAGCTCTCACCATCTTTACAGGAACAACTGAAACTTTCCTAAGAACCGGTTTTCCAACCTCTCTTGTTGCTGTCCTCCATTCTGGATTTTATATGGCAGTCTGCTTCTACTGATCATATGAATCTTTGGTTATAATCGCATTGCATTAGAAAAAAACAACCACCCCAGATTCCAACAGGCCTTGCATAGATAGTCTGGCTTCCTGATCTCTGTAGCCTCCTCCTGTGGCTCCTTTGCTCTCCATCCTCCAGCCTCACTTGTCTGCTTTCAATCCCATGACAGCCCATCCTCCCTCCTGCCACAGGGCCTTTGACCTTTTGTCCCTCCTGCTTCACCTAGGTAAACCCTCTGTATTCTTCACATGTCCTTCAATATTCACTTTATTCAGGTCGTTTTCCACTGCAGGCCCTTATCTGGGCCTGTAATGACACATTTGTTTGTGTGGTTAATGTGAGTCACTTGCAAACTCTGTGAAAACAGGATCCTATCTGTGTTTGCTTACTGCAGTAGCCATGGTCAGAGAGGGGCTCAATGAATATTTGTTGACTACAAACACCACACACCCATCCTTGACACAACTTCTATCTTGTTTCTCCTGTTCACCCCTGTTTCAGATCAGAACCCAAGCGAGACTCACGTCAAGGTCTCCAGGCGGCAGTGAGGGCTTTTCAGGGCGTCACAAAGACTCTTTACTGCAGAGCAGCTCAGATAGTTCCCACTCAGGTCCAGCTCCCGCAGGCTTCCAGGGACTTTGAGAATAGAGAAGAACATCTGCCACCAGGAATCTGTAAACGGGCCCCAGCTGTACCTGAGGGAGAGAGAGGGACAGGGGAGATGTGACCGGTGTGTGGGGGGTCTTATGTGCACACTGTGCTCAACACCATGGGATTTGGCCCCTCTGAGTGCCAGGCTGCAATGGGCAGGGCTATTTCCAGGGGTGATCAGTCTCAGGAACTGCCCCTCTGTTTCCACCACCCTGGCTAATTGCCCCTGTTCCATGTGGTTTCTCATGGCACAGGCCTTGCCATTCTACACTGCTGTACTCCTTTGGTGGGCCTGTTTCTTCCAGAGTGTGGGAAATTCTTGTGGGAAAGGGCATATATGTTCATCTTTTTTATCTGTAGTGCCCAGCACAGAGCCTGGGGATGCAGACAGTCTTCCTCTCATCAATGCACACATGCCTTTCTTCCTTTGGCACAGATACTGGTAAGTCCCAATTTCCAGAAAGGAAAGGAAGAGGTAAGAGGAGGCAACAGAAATTGGGAGAGATGGCTTAAGATGATTTTGTGATGGGATTGTTGATTATGACTATATATGCTGCTGTCCAGATTGGCTTGTGTGGGACCCTATCCCCTTCCCAGGATAGCAAGAGCACAGAGAGGGTCTCCAGGAGAGAGATGTCAAAGGGGAATGTCTCAGGAGAGAACATTTGCAGGATGTGGGGAGAAGATGATGGGCTTTTTTCTGGGAGTTTTAGGGTAAACTGCCTTGTATCATTTCCACCAATTTAAATTCTACATTCCGCACACTATCGAAGTGACTTTATCCACTCCCATGGCTCAATGACTCAAATTCTATTTCAAGTTGCAAACTGCCATCTATTTTCTTGCCAATATGTCCCCTACTCCATTCATCTTTCCCTTCATGTCTGCAGAGCTGTTCCGAGGTGAGAAGAGGCTCTCCTTTCAAGTGGCAGTTCCACTTGTCAGTGCCTCAGTCAGTCTCCCTGGGGCAGGGAGGAGAGAAGAGGAGCTGCCTCGGAGGGTTTTGTGAGGAGGTAGAGGTGTTACCGAGAATCCCTAAAATCTTAGTGCAGTTTTAGCTTTAACAGCTCTAAGACAAACCATGCTGCAAAGGTACCGAAACACGTATCATTTGAAAGTTTATGTGTTTTGTAAACATTTATGTAGTTTCAGGAAATTTGAATAATTTTAAACACTTTGTTTTGTTGAAACATTAGCAACTTTAAACTTAAATCAGGAGGGATAAAAGAAAAGCTTAAAAATTTATTAACAAGACACACAGTGCTTAATTACAAACCAACTACCTAGAGCCATGGTTGGCAAACCTCGGCTAACAAGCCACATGTGGCTCTTCCACAAAATACCACGTGCGGGCGCGCACGTACAGTGCGATTGAAACTTCGTGGCCCATGCGCAGAAGTAGGTATTTTATGGAAGAGCCGGTATTTTGTGGAAGAGCTACACTCAAGGGGCCAAAGAGCCGCATGTGGCTCGCGAGCCGCAGTTTGCCGACCACTGAAGAGCTGCTCATCCTTACTCTCTCGTATTGGTCCTCTTCTCCCTCGCACAGCCTGGGGCCAGTTGTCATCATTTCTTCACAGACTTGTTGTTTACAGTATCCTCTTCGCTATTCTCCCTGCCTTGCCTGGCTGACTCAATGCCTTTACAATCTCCCTGCCCACAGCAGCTGCAGCCTCTGACTTTCCCATGGGAGTCTCTCCAGACTCTATGTGTCACCATCTATTGCAAACTCTCTTACTTTGTCTTGGTGCCTCTGATTCCTCTTGCTCTCCTCTGGCCTCCACCTCTCTGCCTGCTCAGGACACTTCTGAAGGCCACCACCACTTGCAACACCTGCCCCCTGGTCCTTTAAGGACCAGCTCACCTATGTAACCACAACAACTAGAAATAAATTAAGTGCCTAAAAATAGAGGACTCGTCGGATATTTGTGGCACCTTCCCTATGGGAAATGGTATGGTCGTTCAAAATGGTGTTGTATCAGGCTACTTCATAACACAGAAGAAAGTCTTGATATAAAAATAAAGAAAGAAAGCTGACTGTAAAATAAAAGGTCCAGTATGGCTCAGTTTTGCTCTAGAAATGTGCATAAAAATAAGACTAGAGGATATATACCTCACTTTATAATGAAGGTCCCTTCCACTCTGAAATCAATCAAAATATATTTTAAAAAATTACTGAGAAAAAAAGTTACTGGTGATCTCAGTCCTAAAGCCACTGGGGCCAGGCTTAGTGGGAGTACCCCAGTGCCCAGGGCGGTGGTACCAACAGAGGAGCTGGAGAGAGGGGAGGGGGAACACTCACAGAACTACATCTGAAGGGCTTTGAGCTAGTTTTTTCTCTCCACCGTCATTCAGTTGAAGCGTCATCATGCGATGGCAGAATTTAAAGCAGAAAGTGAACACCAGGAGCTCCATGTGAGTTTGGACACATATCCTCATTCCATAGAAATTAGACATCATTTCTGTCAGAAACCTTGTGTCCTGATTCTCATAAAAACAGTGCAGCAAGTGCCAACAATATGGCTCCAGGTTAGGATGCTTGCAGTCAACTTCCCTCTGTGCCAACTGCAGCAGATAGGAATGCCTCTTCCGTGACAGGCTGCGTTTGAAGATGCTCTCCAACTCTCTCATCCCCTGATCACTCAAAAGACCAAACAGAAAACATGTGGTTGGTTCCCCAAACAGGTCACGCCTGTCATATACATCTGTCAAGTCTGTTATAGTTTTGATGTTTATAAAGCCACCACGTTTCAACTTTCTATCGCCTGAAGCATAGGACATTGCTGCAAAGAACTCCTGGAAGCACCGGTGAAGGAAGCTGTAGCTCCGAAGGGTGGGGTGCTCTTGAAGAACACCCATGTTTAAGAGAATGGGGATGTTGGCCTCATCTATCCTGTATTTCCTGAAGTCTTCGGGGCTGAATAGAGTCTTTCTTTGACACGTGCCTTTAGCGGCCAGAGAGCATAAGCCCCTCAGCTTAGCCCCAAGAGACTGAGCCTGGAGAACGTGGAAAAAGTAGTGCAGAAAGAGGGCTGTGGTCGTCTGGGAGGTCAGTGAGAGTGGTTGCTCCTGCTCCATCTGCTGCTTCAGGCAAGTGCAGACCAGCCAGGATACCAAAGGCATGAGACACATGGTGAAGAGAGCCGGGTTGGATTCAACCGAGGTAAAGGCTCTAATTGCTTGGCTCTCATCTATGAAATATTGAAAGAAATACTCCTTCCTGGCCGATTCGGAGAATCCCAGGACCTCCACCCAGCGAGGATGCTTTAAAGAAGGAATGAGTTTTCTCAGAGCTGTGATCCGAGCTGTGATCAGCAGGGAAGCCGTGGGAAGTAAGGTTTTCTTCAGCAAACTGCCCAGCAGTGTGTGCACCTGCTGCTGCTGGCTCCAGTGTGGACAGAGCGCAGAACTCTGCTTCTTCAAGTCCCATTTTGGTTCATCTAAGTTATCAAGAATGAAGAGCAGCTGCTCTGGCTGAGACAGGATCTGCCCAATGGGAGCATCAGGAGCAGCCCAGTCTTTTGTGATGAGCTCAGCGAGACTCATGGTCTTGGACTGGGCCAGCTCTCTGCAGTTGAAGTAGAAGACATGCTTGAAGCGGTCCCTGAACTGCCAGTCTTCCTCCCAGGCTCTCCTCACCTGCCTGGCCAGGGTTGACTTCCCGATTCCAGCAACTCCATGCACCACGACAGTGGGAGGCTCTTTCCGGGTCCTCAGGCCTGGGCCAAATAAGTGTCCGATCTCCATCAAATGTCTTTGTTCATCTACCACCTCATGATTCCTTCTTCTCCTGAGTAGGAAGTCATAGCCTCTGGGTTGAGATCTGCGTATAAGTAGCAGTTGTGTGAATTTTTGGTGCAAATACTCATTTCTCCATGACTGTGTGGGGCAGGAACTCTCTCTCTTTTGGTTCTGGTATTTTTCTTTGATTCCTACAGAAAGGAGAGAAAGATGGAAAATTTGTTCAATTGTTTCTCCATTTATTCCACAATTGTTTTCTGAACCCACTTGAAGCTACACACTGTGCTGGCTGCTGATATGGTACATTCTTGCCAGGCCAGTGGAGAAAACAGGGTTTTGAGGAGAAGATACCAGCTTAAGTTTTTTAAAAAATATATATTTTATTGATTTTTTACAGAGAGGAAGGGAGAGGGATAGAGAATTAGAAACATCAATGAGAGAGAAACATTGATCAGTTGCCTCCTGCACACCCCCTACTGGGGATGTGCCCACAACCAAGGTACATGCCCTTGACCGGAATCGAATCTGGGACCCTTCAGTCCACAGGCCGAAGCTCTATCCACTGAGCCAAACCGGTTAGGGCATTGACTTGATCAAATCATTCTCATAGGGTGATGTTTCTTCATTCTGCAAATATCTGATCTAGGGCTTACACTTCGAGGCACTTATCTAGAAGCTGGGAATAAAGACTGAATAAAGAGACACAATTGTCTGCTCTCACTAATTCCATGACCTGAGCTATTAGCCCCACTGAGTGTCAGTTTTTTCATTCATAATTTGTAAGTAGTTATGGTCGAGTGAAGGATATAATGGATGGTGAAGCAGATACTATTGGTTCCTGAGAGTACCTCCTCCGCACCCACCCATTTAACCACATGGCAAGGATATTCTTCTACTCGCACCTGTGGTTTTCTGTCTGAGGACTCTCTCTTAGGCATTGGGTGTGACAGGCCAGAAGCCCTGGGGAACTAAAGCTCCAGGGGGAGCTCTCAACCAGTGATAGATGGCCATACCCTGACCGCCGGGAAAGATAGTACTGTCTCCTGAAGATCCCTAGTTCATTGAACCTCAGTTGCCCCACAATGCAGGTTTCATTGGTTTCCCCCTTTCCCTTGCCACTTCTCTCTCCTAATGGTGCTTCCAGGGAACCAGTTCTTGAATCAGCCACCTGCTCTCCAATGTCGGCTTCTGGGGGAAACCACCTGGACAGAGGAGAAAGTGTTTTATGAACTGTGAGGAGCTGAGTATATGTCAGGGACTGTGCCCCTGGGAGGAACCTCAAGGTCACATCTTTGTCAGATTCCAAGTCAAATTACTGCTACATCCTTTTCCCTTCTTCCCTTCAGAATATTTTGAGTGACTCATTTCTCTTCGTAGATGAATGTTTGAGATGATGCAAGTGACCCACCTGGGGTCCTGAATCCCAGTTCATTTTGGGAAACCTGCTGGACCTCCAGAGTATGTGGGCCAATTTTCACCTGTAGCTTGGTGAGACTAGGGTATTAGGGGCCCACTCACTCCCCTGGAATCAAGATCTGAAGATCCACGTTTATTGTCTCTCATGAGAACATTTCTGGCAAAGTGAAGCTCTTCGAATGCATCAATACGGCTATGGCTATGGCCCACCCCACTCTGAATCCTATGTCTGCCTGTGGTGCCAAGAGAGGACTTAGTTCTTTTGGTGCCATGTTCTCCAAAATATCCTGGTTTTAATGGATCTCCTAACATTCCACATATCTAAATTCTCTTGATTTAGTAAAACTTTCAAAATTCTACCCTTACCACCAATACTTCTATCAAGATACATTTTAGCATTATGCCTTTGACCAAGGGTTGGCAAATTCTAGCCAAATCGAAGAGTCCACCTGTTGTACAACCTGTGACCTAGGAATGGTTGTCACATTTTTAAATGGTTGAAAAAGTCAAAGAAGAATTATATTTAATGACATGAAAATTTATAAAATGCAAGACAAGACATGTGAAGAGATGTACATCCAAGTACGTGAAACTCATAGGTCCTGGTACAGATTCAACTTTAAAAGGACTTCATTTATCACATTATAATGAAATTGCCAAAAATGAAAGACAAAGAGAATATGAAAGGAGCAGGAGAATGACCGATCTCAGACAAGGTGACTCCCACAAAGCTATGAACAAATTTCAGCAGAAACATCACCGTTCAGAGAGAGTAGATGATATATTCAAAGTGCTGAGAGAAAAAACAGCTGTCAGCTAAGAATGAGCAAAGGTTAAGAAATGAAAGAGCTATAAAGGTATTCCTAGGTAAACAAAAGTGGAGGGAGTTCATTACCACTAGAATGAACTCACAAAAATGCAGAAAGGAGTTCTTCAAGCAGAAATAAAGGATGTTAATTGGTAACATGAAAATATATGAACATATATATCTCACTGGTAAGGGTAAATATATAGTCAAATTCAGAATATGCTATACAGTAATGATGGTGTATAAATAATTCTAGTAGAGTGATGAAAAGACAAAAGTATTGACTAATGCTATGGGAGTGGGTGGACTTGGGGCTGTCAGACTGTAGTAAATCCTGGGAGCTGGTGCAGGGGGGCATGGAGGCACTGGGGCAGGATAGGATGATGACCTTGGAACGTCTTTGGGGTATGCAGGGGGTCATTGGCTGATGATCAGGCATTTGATTTTAACTTTTAGCTTTGTAACAGCTTAAGGGACCACATGAGAACATGTGTGGAGTTGGCCCCTGTCACTGCAAATGGTTCAGAGTTTGTATGCTCCTTTTTACAAGTGATTTCCCAGATCACAGTTCTCTGCTGAGATTTGAGTGGGATTTAAGAATTTGGGGAACACCTGCAGCTTTGTAACTTCAGAGGTGTAATCAGTTAAAAAATTCACCTTTTGTGGAGTTGTGTTTTGTCAGTCATCCCTGCTAACTGAGCCGCAAGAAGGACTCCATGAAAGATGACAGAAGAAGTCACTGTTATAGCCAAGTGGGGCGGGGGGCGGGGGGTGCTAAATTGCCCAATAGGACGAGAAACTTAATTAACATCAAAATGAATCAGCACATGTGGCCACTGAATGACTCCAAGACGTGGTGGCGGGTGAGGAGGTGGCCAACAGGACAGGCCATGGTGCTATCCATTTACATGGAGAGGAAGAATGGCCCGAAGAAGGGTTTCCCTCATGAAGAATCTGAAGAATACACTGTGCCTTGGCAATACCAAGAAGAAGACCAGCATGTGGGACTCGTCCCTGGTACCCAGCACCGATGCTGAGTACCCTGCCAAGGGGGGAGTTGCCAACTGTATCTATGACCTCAGCATCCTGGACTTTGTCAAGTTTGCCTACATGACTGAGAGGTTAGGTGACCTGTCCCTGGTGAAGGGGTCATGTGTCACTGCCATGGAGACATGCAGCAATGGCTGGTGATTTGGCAGCTACAATGGGCAGTTGGACCTGTTCCCTTTCAACAACATCTTGAGGAGGTAGGCGAGCTGGCCACCAAGTTCCAAACTTACTCAGGTTGCTGAAGGGCTCATCCCCTGTGTCCTGCTTGTGGTCCATAAAGTTTACCCTTTCAGCTTGGCCACCAAGAAGCTCAAGTTCGAGAAGGGAGAGACTGTGAAGGTTATCGAGAAGCCTGGGAATGACCAGGAGAGGTGGAAATGCAAAAATGCCTGGGGGCAGGCAGGCCTTGGCCCCCTCCTTCCCCCCCATTACAAGGTGGTGCTCAGCCATGGGTCTGCCCTGTCCACGTTGCATGCCCCATACATCAGCTACCTGGGGTAGGGGCAGCGGGTGCTTTGCAGACAGAGAGTGGTACTGTGGCAATAACACACCACCAGGCCAGGTGCCAAAGGGCGACATCCTCATTGGGGACAGCGAATCCTCTCCCAGTGACTTGTCATGTGTCTCTCAAAGCACCAGGAAAGAACGAACATTACAAGTTGCAGCTTGTGAAGAGTGTCAACTGCATCAGGCAGCGGCAGTTTCCCACTATGGACACTACAAAAAGGCCCCCTCCTCACCGTGGGCATGGGGAGAAGCTGTACCTCATCGGAGCGCTTCAGCGATGTCCTCCCAGGGCCCTGCCACCTCCAGGCCTTGGTGCCACAATTACTTACCCAGCGCTGAGCTGGTGGCTCCAAGAAGACATGGTGGGTCACCTGCTCTCCTGCAGCCCCTGTTCTTTCCTGTGGTTCCTCCCCTACTGGGTCCTTTGCTTGGTTGATGTTTCTGTCCAGGTTCTTTATTTCCAACTGCCTCCCCTTTGCCATCCCAGCCCCTCATTCCAGGGTTCAAGGCCACCCCCCCCCCCCACTGTGGTCAGTTTTAGAGAATGAAAGATGGAAGAGGGCAAGTTTGTCCAGTTTATTCTTCTTAATTAGAAACAGCCGTAGACTCTCCAAACTGTTATGCTGTCAGTGCCCCTCAGTAAACACAGTGGGCCCAGTGGGGATGCACTGAAGCTGCCCCTGGTGAAGTGACCTAGGTGCCCTCCAAGGTGGAGGTCCCTGGTCCCAGCAGCCCTTTTTGGTGCCCTTTACACACACACACACACACACACACATACACACACACTATACACACACATATGCATAATTTTTTTTACAGGAAAGTTTTTCAGGATTTACAAAGAATATGTGATTGGTAATAAGAGACATAGAAAGTTTATGAAGAAATTGCATTCTTTTCTTTACATTTTTACTTCTTTATCCTTTAAACAACATCTAGAGATGGTACATTCCTACAGTTGAAGAAGGGGTCTTGACACCTCCTAAACCTGCATGCTGAGTCTCCTGGCTATTGTAATAAGAAGTAGTATGACAAAACTGTGTGTGATTTATCTTAGGTAAACTCTGACTCAATGATGGGACAGCAATGACTGAGCATTTACTGAATACTCAGTGCCTGAAGGGAGGAATTTAACACATTTATTACTTGTGTGTTTTCTTTTTCTGTCGCAACATTTTTTATTATATTGAAATCATAAATTTAATGAGTGAAACTCCAAGAGGAAAAAAAAAGAAAAAAGTATTAAAAATAACTCTAGCTAAAATAATTTGGACATGCAGACACAATATAAAAAATGTAAATCGTGAAAACAAAAACAAAAATATGAGGGAGTAAAAGGGTAGATTTTTGTATGTGATTGAAATTAAATTGTTATAAACTTAAAATAGACTCATAAGCATAAGGTATTTTATGTAAGTGTCATGCTATGCACAAAGCAAAAACCTATAGCAGATACACAAAACATAAAGCAAAAGGAATCAAAGCACACCACTATAGAAAACCATCAAGCCCTGGCCACATGGCT